GCATAGAGGCAGTAACCCATGTAGTCCCTGCAGTTTGGAGTCAGTCTGCATCCAGCCTTGCCCCACAAAATAGTTACTGCTGTTTGGCCGTGCACTGTGTAATGCTATAGACCTCACTTCTTGCCTGTATCACCCAGCAAAGTCTTGTGGAACAGAAATAGCAAGAATCAGGTTCTGATCTTTGGGAAAGCAAATGGAACAGAAGTGGCTATCAGTAGAATGCTGTACTTTTGGAAGTCACTTTCTTCCTCTTTGCAGCTGTGTTTCTCCTTTTGTAAACCAGGGCTAGGGAAACGTGCAGCCTCCAACAGAGGGAGTGTCCAGGCTCACACCTGTTCAACACTTCTGGGGCAAAAGGAAACCCAGATTCTGCAAGGTCAAAGGTGGCTACAGTGTATTTAAATAAATTTAACCACTAGGAAAAGGTACCAGACTCTTAACATCTAAAAGATAGTACAAATAGCTCTCTACTCTGTCTTTCACATTCTCATAGGGAACAAGCAATTATTCTAATGACCCATTCTGTCCTTAGTAGGCTCCTAGAACAAGGTCATTTGCAGACAGGAGCTGATCTGGCACTGAAGTATGCCCAAGTACAGCTAGTGAGGTTGACAGGATAAGAGCAAATGAAAGGGTTCCTGCTAGTTCACTTCCTGTTCAGCACATCTTTTAATTGGCAGCTTTGCATACTGATCCCAAAAGAGTTGCCCATGGCCAAGATAGCATTGTGCTTTTAAGACAGTTTTGAAAGGAAATGCAGATGCAACACACAGAACACTCACAGGCAAGGCTTTTGTTTGTTTCCCAGAGAAAGAACTGAGCACGCTTCGTAAGGAGAATCGCAAGAACGCTGCCCTTGCTGTGGCTGTGGGGCTGCTGATTGCTCTTATTTATGCCTGCTGGATGATGTGATTGCACTCAAGAATTCTCCCTGCTGACCAGATGACTCTCCTGCAAGGAGCTCTTCCTCCTCTTGCCACTGTGCCTCCCCCAAGGGTAAGGATCAGCATTTCAGATTGCTGTTCTTGTTCATCCTCTCCAAGCCTCGTCGCAGGGAAGCTTTTTCTCTGAGAGTTGAGGAGGACAGGAGACAAATCAGAAATCACAGCACACTCGTGGCTGGAAACTGGGTCAAGCAGAGCTGAAGGTGGTGCTATCTTACTCAAAACACAGTGAAGACCATCCAGCCTGATGCAGAAAGGCAATACATTCTCCCATTTGAAGAGGACCTCTGTGGCTTCAGACAAGTGCTCTCTGCCCAGCCCAGTCAGAATACACGCCACCTTGGTTCCTGTGACTCAGCCATAAGCTGAAGGGACACCAAACTCTTTGAATCAAAGGGTAACTTTGGTATTGTGACCAAAAGACTCCGTATCTTCCCAGAGCTGATCTAAACAAGCATGATACCCCCTCCACACTGACTTGGAGGACCAGAGGAATCCTACCTCCACAAAAACAGATGGGAGATAGGTATCTCTCTGCAGGCAGGTAGCATCCAGCTTGAGATGTGGGTACTTAGGTTTTGAGATCTCCCTACCTCTCCAGTGCATCACAGCTTGGTAGCCATTCTGTGCCTCTGAGAATCAACACCTGAAGATGAGAATTTACTATCAACTCCCAGCAATGGAAGTGCCTCTGCAAGGGCTTTAAATAAAATAATTTCACCTTGTCACTTCCAGGTTTCTTTTTTTTCCTGTTTTGTAAAATCTCGCAGCCACTGCTTTATTCTCATCCTGCATTCTCTGTGCTGGCACCCACTGCACCATAGTAAGCCTAGACTGGGTTAGGCACTTAACATACCTGGTCTGCAAGATCTCAGCAGTGGGTTATTGGTCTGTTGTGGCTTGGAATCTACTCAAGTGTTTGCTTTGAGTGGAAAAGCAGCCTCGTGTGCTGCATAGGACTGCTGGGGACTGACGCATGTAGTCTGCTCTCTGGTGAAGCAAGATACATTAGGTAGCCCTCAGTGTGCTCTGACATGTCAAGTAAGCCATTAAAAGGGGACTTCCTTGCAAGGTCAGCGGTGCAAGGCATTTCTTTCTCCACACTAACACACTGCCTGACAGAATTCTGTGGGAAGCATAGTGAACAAGCACTGTTGTGAACTAAAAGGGCTGTATTGATAATAGAGACAATGAAAGCAGGAGTCAAAACAAAATGATACACAGCCTAATAACAATACATTGTGCAATTAATGTAAATCAACGTTCCCTTCAGCAAGACCTTCCTCACCTCCCCTTCCCAACATAATCCCTGTGTATTTACCCTGCAGCAGGGAAGCAAGTAGCATGGTGGCTCAATGCTTGCCTTCTTCAAGGGGGATTCAGAATCACAGTTCAGTGCATCAAAAATAAAACTAAAAATAAAGCAAATTCAAATCAGGAGGAGCTGGAGGCAACCCACTACAGAAAGTATTTGTTCATAACAGCTGGCCTTCAGGCTAAGCAGGGTTTTTTCTACCCTGAGGCCTACACTCACCCTGGTGTACTTCCTGGTCACCTTCCTGTCTGCCAGCCCACAGGAGACTAAAGCCCTGAGTGGAGGACACAACACTTTGCGAAGGAGCCTGGCAGAAGGAGCAGCATGCTTTGCTGGCATTGGAACAGCCTCAAGGCAGTTAGAAGTGTCCAAGCTCCGAAACTCAAATTACTGGTTGGTTTAAAAAGCCAACCACACACAGGCCTAGAAACCATGCAGCTGACAGTTCCTTACTGCCCACTGGGACAGATTCTTCCACATTCCTCATGGAATTGCCTTGCCTTTGCCAAAACAACTGCCTGCAACAGACCTCTTGTTCTTTGGGGGTAGGGGCCACTGTTTCTTTCATACGTGTTTTACCAACGCTCAGGAGCAGAGAGTTCTCTACAGAGGATGCATTAACAGCATGGAGTCCCTCAGCTGCTTTGGTAGACCTGTGTCTGGGCACTAGTAATCACCACTGTGAGAAGAGCTCTGGCCCATTTCACTTTGGCCATAGCTCGGGAAGAAATAGAACAGCTCCCCTGCATGGTATTCAGGGTTACCTCTTCGTAAGCTAACCTCCTGAGCTTTGCCTCCTCCAGCTTCCATTGACTAACAGGCCATGACAACTTCCGTGCTGCTTCTTCAGCCAGGGGTGCAGTTCCACAGCGATCACACCTGCAGATTATTTTCTCTGGTGCCAGGAGTTGCAGATGTTAATTTCATTTATACTAAATAGTAGAGAATTCATATGTGGTTATATGGAGACAATTTGCTTGGGAAGACATGGAAGTGCTCGAAGCTCAGAGAGCACAGCCTACTTGTAAGAGAACAAGGAAGGAAGTAGGAACTGCATGCTGAGAATAAGCACAAAACCTCTAACAAATGATGCTGAGCCTTAGAGGGTGGAGGTGGGACTTCTACAACATACCCTCCTTGTGCTGGCTTCTCTGGGTGAGGTGCAGGGCACCTATGGACCTACAACTGAAAACTTCCATATCTTGCTACATAAAGCTTGTTCAGATTATACATATGGGTGTGGAGAGAAAGAAACAAGAATCTAAACAACTGCTATAGACTCTCGGAGAACTATAGCTTTCTTTAAGGCACAGTTCAACCCCTAAATCAGTTTCCTCCCTACTGTCAATCTGTGTTTAAAAACAAGCCAAGAACAAAAAAACAACCAAAAGGGGGTAGGGAGGGCAATTTTGCTGGTTGGTCAAAAGTAGTCAACTCTGTTATCTTCTGATTTATGTGGAAGACGTGGCAACAGTGCCATGGAAGCCAGAAGTGAAGGTAGAACATGCAACAGAAGACAACTTTGAACCTAGCTCCAAAGTGCACATGGAGCACTCTGTTGACACCTGAATACCATGCTGAGAGTTTCAGAGCTCTGTGTTTTCAACCCAGATGCAGTTCCAGGGCCAAATGAGCCACAGAGGGTTTCAAAGCCCACTTTGACATTTAAAAAGTGAAGTCTGGTAACCCTGGGCACAGTCGGGCAGTATTTCTTCTGACTGACCAACATGGTTGAAGTTTCTTCATTGAAGCCCTGGTGGGGGGTTTTAACTAAGTCAGACATTCCCATCACTTCCCTTAAAGGCCTCCAGCATCTCAAACTTCCTGTGTCTTCTTCCTGCGTCCACTTTCCTCCCTGAAGATCTGGATAATAATGTCGAGTACCAAGAACCAAAGCACCTTGGTCTTGGAAGTACCATGAGGCATAGACACGTTCACAAATTAACCCCAGGCTGCTGGCTCAGGATCAGTCACTGTCCTGGAGAGGAGAAATCCTTGTCACAGCAGTTTCTAGAGGTCTGAGAAAGCCTTTGCACAGAGCACATTAAATCTGTGCGAGGAACTCTACTCATCACCTGCGCTGGCCTTTGTCCAACAGGATACCATCACATAGGAATTGCCAGTGGACAGCCAAGTGCCTTGATAAGCAGAAATGTTGGAGACACCAGCAAGAATACACACTTGTGTCCCAAAGCCAGCATTCCCCAGTAAGTTAACATGCTCAGCTGGGTAGTGTAGGCCTTTGACAGGCCAAGGAGACAGATAGCTGCCAGGAACAATGCAGGGCTGTTTCAGCGTGCTGTTGCCCAGCTCCGCCACCAAGACATCTCTGCTCCTTCCTACACTGCCAGGGAAGCACGAGCCTGAAGAGTTCTGGCACACACAGATAGCTCCACAAACCTCACTGAGTATTTGCACAGGAGCAAAGCTGCCAGGCCCTTGGCCTCATGCATGCAGTAGGTCAGGACAAAGGGTGTCTGGCTGTGGCTCCAGGAGTCACCACAGGTATTCCAGCAGCAGGCGCTACCTGAGCCATACTCATATACAATGGCAGAGCCTTGTCCTGTGCCTTCTGCATATAATCCCTGGGTTTGATCACCTCCAGGAAAACAGCTCTGGAGAAGACCAGGACAGAAGCTGTGGAGCGTCCTCAGTCTCATCAGTCCCTGAAGAATCAAAGCTGGGCTCAGCCCCCCCTGCACCCTTCAAGAGAGCAGAGTTAGGGGAAGTGCGCTTGGATGAAAGACAGGACATCCTCCTTGGATAGCTTCTCTGGATCTTGCCTTTTCTGAGAGTCGTGCACTTTGACACCTTCCCCCCACTCCCAGAAGAGGCGGCTGTAATGGCAGACACTGTGGGCAGAGAGGAAAGCAACATTAGTTTGGCAGTGGAGGGGAGGGAAAACACTGTATCCTGGCCACAGAGTGCACTACAGAGACAGCTGCCCTTGCAGTGAGAGCCACACAGAGATAGTCTGTCTCAGGGCTGCCTTAGAAAAAGACCAGTGTATTCATTCACCTTACAAACTCTATAGCCCTTAAGGCAACTTCCAAGCCTAAGAGATTTCCATGGAAACAAACATACTAATTCTAAGTTCAGTCAAGATTTAGTTCAGCATTTGTTGGAAGGAGACATGTCATTAGGGAAAAAACCTTCCTCCTTTCCCCCCCCCCAAGTTTTTGAGAGGATGAAACTGTCATTGCAGGCGATAGGGAGGCTTTAATGAAGAATTCAGAAAGTCTGCCAGCAGCAGCAGTCTAATCACTCACCACAAACCTACTAGAATCACTAATAGCTGTCCTATGGAGCTTTGCAAACGAACAGCACTTCACATTGCACAAAAACAGCTAGGATCATCCCCTTCTTCCTCTCGTATGAAATAACCAGATCCACTTGGCTACTGACAGTTCTGGTCCTACAGTGCCATCTCTCACACCATCCATGCATCCATCACACACATCCCTCCCTCACTGCATCAGCACAGTCCCAGCCATAATGAAAACAGACCTGCTAATTACTGACAACAGAGCAGCCTTTAGTTTTGTACAATTACTGACACTTAATATTCATTGCTTATTTAGTAACGCTGTTCTAACAAAGCAGTACTAGCACAGTGACAAAAGCACATGTCAGTGGCTAATTACAGACACATTAGTACTCACTAACCACAACAACCACACACCCTTTCTGGAGTCCCACACAAGCACTCCCTCCACCTCCTCAACCATTCAAGCTGACCTATTTCACAGTACACAGGCAGAACACTAAGCCCATCCTGACAAGTGGATGGAAAAAGCATCCTGTGCCTCTGCTTTTTAAG